CAATCACCAATGCATTCATTTAATTGTGGCTTATGACACTCTACTTGTGTGCCGGATTCGACACATTTTCGACTAAAAAGAATCATGGCATCTGGTGTTGTTTCATTGCATCGTTTAGGACATTGCGTGTCATCGATAATCCAATTACTCCAGCTGCATGCTATTTTTAAGAAAAAATTAGCATCCATATATAATCAAAAGTAGGCCAGAGTTGTCAGCTGTGCTTACACGGACACTGATCATTAAAGCATGGCACTGTTCTACTTGTTTCTTTTATCATCGAACAGTCATTACAGGATACATTATCACTGTCAACGCAAAAACGCTGCTGCTGGACAACACCTGACCCACACGTTTTACTGCACTGCGAAGCATACTGCCATTCCGTCCAACTACAAACTGAAAGAAAAAGTAGTGAAAGTGGTATAGACAAGTGTGTGTTGTCTTTACCTCTACAAGGTTTTGCTTGTGATAAATGTTGTTGCCCAAACACCAAAAGCTGTTTTAAAAGTTTAATAAATTCAGCATTAACATCCGAATCTAATTTAGAGTAAAAAGTGAAAAGAATGCGTTTTCATTGGATGATTGTAATCAACTCTCACCCGTTGAATTTTCTATTGCAATAGTTTTCCCAATACTCTGTTGGAAATAACAACAGATAATGATTAAACAAAATAAGTTTAATATGTCCATGCTAGAAAACAAAATGATATTAATTTGAACTCTTTTTATTTGGTGACTCGGAGTATCTCCTGTCTTACAAAGTAGAGGGAGTTTCAGCTTACAAAAGTGACGCCTGTTCGTGAGAGTTTTCCAACTTTTAACTTGGGTAATCGATCTCCGGAAACAGTTGATGATGAAGAAGTCGAAGAGGCGGTGGAGAAAAAGGAAGTGTCAGAAACCGAAGGTTCTGAAACAGATTAGAATACGACGACGACAGTAGCGAGAAAGAAAGCTCAAGCGATAATGATTCTGGCTCCGATCAGTTGGCACGAAACAATGAGAAGACCGTCTACGCTTGTAGCTTGAACATTTTGTATAAAATAAAATTGCCAGAAAATTCATCTGTGAAACAATTTTACAAGATTATTTGGGCCCAGTTAGATAGGAAAATTGAAAATTGTCGAAAACAGACACATTATTTATTATTGTTTAATCATCGCATGCACATATTTGCCAATTCGAATGATCGGGAAAAGGTTAATGCATTTTTGAAACTCTTACCATAACCAAATAATATTCGATGTCGTCCACGACATTTTTATATTTATGCTATTAAAAAGAAGCAGATTGATACCATGTACTCTTACGAGCGTGATCCAAAACATTTATTCCAGTAATCAGCATGGTGGGATCCTGTATGTTTCATCGCAGATAAACAACATCCGTTACCCGAAAGTGTACTTCTTAGCAGCTTATACGCATTGAAGCTCTTTTACCCTCAAACTAACGATTTGTACATGATAAGACAAACTATGCACGCACAATTCTTGATCATACATAGTAAGTAAAGAGAGTTTTACTTGGTCAAACTTAACTTAATAAGCTTTCTGAGTTTCTTGCACTATACAACGTCAAATAATAGCATGAAAAGTATCAATACAGAAGATGCAGTCGATGAAGCATTAAGAAAATTTAAATTAGCTGCTGATCGTGTTGATGCAACCATAAGAGATTCATGTGATAAAGTACGTGGTTATGTTGACGATAGGAAACCACAATCAGTGACAAAGATTATTCAGAAAGAATAAAAAAAATTATTATTCATTTCGTCGACTTGCAAAGTAAAGTCGGAAACAAATGCAGTTCTACTCACTGAGCCCAAAGACTAAATCAATTGAAATAGGACCTGAGGAATAGATATGTTATTTGTTGCGTAAGTTACTAAAATCGTAATTCACCCGCTATACCTCGCATTAATTTTTGTAACTGATTTTGAGTCCAAACTTTCGTTGATGGATCATTAACTTTTATTCTTTTTCTGCCAAAAACAAGACTTTATTTAACCACTAGTGTTGCGTCGGTATTAGCCGGCCAGCCATTTACTGCTGCATATATCAACTTTTTATGTAGTGCGTAGCCATCTGTGCGAGGAACGAAAGTAAGCCAGCAATATTTTGCAATATCATATCAAATTCCGTTATTACCGTTATTACCTCTCAGAAGAAAGTATACAAATACTCTGTACTATGAGCTGTCCGAATCAATAGTATTTGAATGTACATCGTACACTTTTAGTTGCAGGTCGTTGTTAGATATCAGATACGTTTAGGACACGTTATAACATATGATTTCAAATCATACTTTCTATTCTATGCATTAAATTTGGAGAAATCGTAAATCTCTCTCAGACTTCGCAAAAATTTAAGATATGCAGACACTTTCACGAATCGAGTTTTTTGCGAATTTTCGAAAATAGGTGGTAAGGAAACTAAACTTTCAAGTTTTCCTTATGTCTGAAACATTAACAAACTACGTTTCTTCCATGGCTTATAATGAAATGGACGATGGTATCGGTGGCCTCTTAATCTACGTCACATTGCAATATTTCTGAAAAGCGTAAAAGGTCGGACTTCTGTGTCGCAGTTCAATTTGCTATAATTAAGCGAGAATAGATATCTTGTTCGAAACACACATTTATAATTATCCTGGAAGGAAGTGACGAAGATTCATACTATATTGGAAAACAAGTTGGAAAAAACCTATTATTACACCGCCGCTTTTACGGTTCTTGTATTTAATGTTGTTTTGAGTTTGAGTCATTTAATTCGACTCGTTGTGTTTGTGTGAAAAACGGAAGTGCATGCAGAAACGAAATAAACGTGACTATTAGGATACCGCCATTAGAAGGTCCTTGATAAGAATAATGCAGCAATGCACTTTTCGATTACAAAGTTTTGGATAATTAACTACTCCCTACTATATGACTCCTTCGTTTGAATAAAAAGCTCATGATACTATTCAGCTGATCTAAGAAATAGAAATTGCCATGTTACAAGAGCTATAGGGTTGTCGAATGATATCTAAGCTGTTAATAGTATGCTAGATCAGTCCATTACCACTACGATGTTTTTGCTTTTTACCGTCAGTCTATCTAAATTTTTCAGTGCTAATGTTTTTATTCGATAAATTCAATTATCTTTCACAAGTATATGGCTAAGATCACTTTGCTACTCAGATTTTAGAAAAGTGGTCTTAATCTGACCAGAGAATTTGTTCTTTAATGCAGAAATACACACTTTGTATACTATTTATAATTTACGAAAATATTTACATAACTAATAACATGTTCTGGATGCATAGTCATCATCATCTTTTGCATTACGACTACTATCTAAGACAATTACATCGGCGGCAAGTTTGGCTATGTTGTTCTCGAGCACTTCAAAGTACTCGGTTCAGACGTCGACGCCGACCGGTCTCGTCATAACTTTGGACAGATTTACTCCAGTCTTAGTGTGACAGATCATCGGTACAGCAGCATACTTACATCCTTGAGACGTATAATACAGCTCCTCCGAGCGGTCCTCATAGCTTCCAGGAAAGTTAGTACGTAGTTCACGAGCGTGTATAGGAAGTACAAATGCTTGACCGAAAGAACTCTGCATCAGGCTAGCCTTCTGTCCAATTCATGACTAGTAACGAGACAGACGGTCATCTTTTAAGCTTGCCAGCTGTAGGAAGGATACCAGGCATTGAATCCGACTTATGGCAGCCACCTATATTGAAAATGCTGGCAGCGCTGAGAGGTATTCTTCCTTTTTCCAACTACATGATGGGAACTCAATGATCATAATATTGCTTGATGAGTTCCTAACTCTGCTTCCGTTCAGTCCATTTCTTTTGCTTCAGTTAATCGAAGTCCTTGGTTGCAGCGTTTCTTTCTCTCGTACTTATATACGTTGTTGTTTCTGTTCATATCATGATTTTGTTGACTGCTCAATTCATTGTATATTATGGATCCACGTTCGGTTTCATAATGCCTAAATGACAAAAACCTTTTTGTATCAAAAGTCTTTATTGTGAGCACAGATGGGATACTTACAAATTCAATTGTCCATTATAACCTTCTATATGATTAATGGTACGTAATCTTACTACAATCCTAATGAATCAAGAAATCTAATGAATATCTTCTTGAAACATACTCCGTCAGTTTAATAAATTTCGGACTAAAGTCCAAAATGATTCTATTATATTTGAAAAGGATTCATTTACACCAGTTAGAGACAGCAGAGATGTAACCAGCGACCGGCCTAGGCATACACCGATTAATAATCGACGTTGGAATTTAGGAAAATCGTTCCCACTTGGTTATAGTAAATGTCTCAGAACTGCGGAATGTCTCATTTTGTAGAGAAAGATTTGTTCTACAAAAGTAAAGTGCTAAAAAGGTTTTAATGTTATTTGTGACAGAAATATAAGTATTCAAAAATGTGCAAAATCACAAAAAAATAATCGAAGATCGATTATTTTTTTGTGACTTTTGTGCGTTTTTGATTAGTCATATTTTTTCTATATATAACATTAAAACCTTTTTAGCACTTTACTTTTGTAGAACAAATCTTTCTCTACAAAATGAGACATTCCGCAGTTCTGAGACATTTACTATAACCAAGTGGGAACGATTTTCCTGAATGCCCCAACGTCGATTATTACTCGGTGCGCGCCTAGACCGGCCTGTTTAAATCGGTCCCGTCGGGGAAAAGACATAAATCTGATGGTTGACCGGAGACTGATCGCACTTGGTCGGCCTGTTTCGCTCCAAAGTTTTTAGACCAGTTACGGGTGCAATCGACAAAAATCTTGACCGGTTACATCTAACAGTAACAGAAGTGCCATTGTACCAGTCGACATGCATCATCATTGTTTTGGATTAATTTCGTTAACCTATATTTCTTGACCTTTCTCGTTATTTAGGCATAACGAAAATGACAACCTGTTGAAAGCTTATATGAGGAAGCATTCCATACAACGCGTTCGAAATCAATTACTGCTGTCTACAGCTGTAATATGACATTTTGTTGTGTTGTATATGATAATGCAGAATCAAATACGACTTCATATGAAGCATGATGTTTACTGGATAATGCCGCATTAACAATTAGCTTCATGCTGAATTTATTCCACGTACATATAATATATGGTTTCAGTGCTGTACGAACTGTTCCAACAGCTTTCCAATAAGCATTTTTAACAAGAATCTCTAACGCTGATACTGAACACAAATTAATACTGGATCTGGACATCTGTACATGGATTTCGTTTTATCTGATCCCGTAATGCCGCTTTCAGGTCAATTTGATAAATAAAGGCGCTTCCTGCATTTTTGACTGCTTCAATGTGTTCTGTGCCTACAATAGACAATCATTCTCAATTTAGAGAGTGATGCGAAATTATAAATAGTATACAAAAAAATACTGCTTTGGAGAACAAATTTCCTGTTCCAGATTAAGATCGCTTTTTTGAAATCTGATTAATAATCATAAAAGGTGGTCTCAAACGTGATGCAGCCTGTTCTACACACGATCATTGCTCTCTAGTATTCATGAATTTTGCTCAGTTTTCGGAAACTTCCATTTAGATTCGCAAAGACAGTTGTCAACAAAGTATACGTTAAGCCAGGTGCATTTTACACATAAACAAAGTAGAATGAATAGAAAGTCAAAGATGGCCAAGGTAACTAAAACAGAGTTTTAAGATGAACCTGATCATAAAGCGGAAAGTGGAAATTTAGAGACACTTCTGCCAGACGAAGTAAAATGCGAGATCCGTTTTTAACGTTTTGCGTATGACACTGCATCCAATAACATCAGTCGAAACATCAATAAAAGCTTTAAAAGGTCGGAAACTGAAAATTCGAGTAATAAAAAAGTACGATAGTATCGTATTCAGCTTGCGAAACTGAGCATAAAAACTTCGATCTAGACTGTTCGAACTAGGTGTGCATTGATTCGGTTAACCGAACATCGGTTATAACTGAATAAACTTCATAATGTGCTCGGTTTTCATTATTACTGTTCTAGTTTTCGAAAATTTGGGTAAACCGAAATAAAAATTGCTGATTTTTCGCGCAGATGTGAATATAACTCTAGATAGCATTACTTAAAATATTTCTATTATCGGATTCAAAAAGTAAGATACCCAGCGCCTCTTCGAATAACACGGCAATGGGAAGAGATATCGAAAACACTTTTCGCCGACTTGTAGCCAAATCCAGGGCACATCGAACTATGACAGAAAAATAAATTTTCATTGAGTCTCCATGGGTTGTCCAGAAGGATCTTTGGAGAATCAGTTCGGATCTCTGGAAACTGAGATAGCAATCTATCAGTTTTTTCTATAGATAAGTAGTCCCAGTTGTCCTCTCCAAAATGAGAACTAAGCGAACTCTTAATTATTAGATGAAATAACCCATTTTTCCCTATTTTTGAGTAAAATTAAAAAATTTATAACCCAGTAAAGATCCATCCAAACTATGTCAGAATATCAAGATGTACTCTATTTTACCTGCTCAGTACGATTATTCACCGGAGAATAGTAAGAAACACTCTTGTAGTTCGGAAGATTCCTAGAAAATCTTCTCAAAAACCAGGTCTTTTCTGTTGATTTGTGAAACTTTTGTTGAACTGTATAGTATTGAGCAGGTAAAACAGAGTACATCTTGATATTCTGACATAGTTTGGATGGATCTTTACTGGGTTATGAATTTTTTAATTTTACTCAAAAATAGGGAAAACTGGGTTATTTGGCACACCTAGTTCAAACATGATATGAGCATGAAATTTCCCCTCTTTTCTTATCCCATCGAAACCGGAGAAGTCAATGTGCGATCGAAGGACGAGGGTGGATAAGCTAGGATCTCGTGCCCCAAAATAATTGACTTTTATGATCGGAAACGTGTCCGAATGGATCTGGACCATATTGCACCACTTAGTTTGGCGAAATTCCAATATGAGATTGATGACGCCTTTGATCCCTCTGAGGATTTCTAGAAAAGTTTTTTTCTCAAATCTTTACAGAGGTACATGGACTACATGTAGTCAGGTGTGCTGATCACGAATATCACGTTCGAAATTGAAAGAATTGCTGTAGCGGGTCAAATTATCAAAACCCTAACTTAATATCCTTATGTTTACCACTGTATCATATGGAGACCTAGAACAAAGGAGAAAACTTAACTATATATACAAATTTTTAATTTCTATCTCATGAATAAGCAAAAGAGAAAAAAAGGTGTGCGTCATACGCAAAATTCAAAAATGTGGCGAAAAATGATAATTTTCACCAGCATTTTGTCATTTTCATACATTAACCAAAATAAATACCATATTCGTAATTGGCATAAAAAGATATATCGAGCAATATATTATTCATGTGTGCGACATGTTATCAGTTAGAAGTTTATCGTTTCCGGATTTTTCTGAGGGGGAGAGACCTCAGCCTAATTCTTCAGCGACCTAATTCTTAACCAATACTGGAAGTACTTTGAGACCATATTCTGAAAGAACAAGCATTTTTACATATAACAGGCCGTTTTTCGTGGGTAAGAATACATGCCTAACACGATGGGAAAGTTAATAATTTAGCGAAAAGGGCAAATATATCGTCCTTCAGTATATCTCATAGATAAAAATATTTTTTTTCAATTTCAAACGTGATATTCGTGATCGGCACACCTGACTACATATAGTCCATGTATCTCTGTGAAAATTTGAGAAAAAGACTTTTCTAGAAATCCTCAGAGGGATCAAAGGCCAACAATTTCATATTGGAATTTCGCCAAACTAAGTGGTGCAATATGGTCCAGATATCATTTGGGCACGTTTTCGATCATAACAGTCAAATATTTTGGGGACAAAATCCTTGCTTATTCACTCTCCTCTTTTATACCATAGAAAGAATATAAAAAGAAACTCGATGTATTTTTGCCCAGAGTTTTCTGACATGTTCCTTTATACGTTTTCTTGAAATCCCCTGTTTTCATCTTGCCACACTAGGACGCTGGAAGAATGATTCGATTGAACTAAAATTTTACCATAGACACTTCACGCTCTGTCTCAAGTTCTAATTCTTTTCCGAAAGATCTGCCTGCCTTCTGGGGATATGAGAATAATGCTGAAAATCTCACATAAAACGTTGGTACTCGATTTTAAAAATCTTCACACATACGAAAAGATAATCTGTCGCAGTAGAATGTGTCATACCTTGTATAGAAAATGTCTGTCGCAACTTGACTGTTACAATTGGGAGGCGTTGACACGGGCTTTATGTTCTTGGCCTCGTTTGTCCTTTTGCATATCTTCTAATCTTCTCACCCTAATTCGAACCAATCATATTACTCTAAATTTTTTTCCGTTAGAGAGTATTTCGAATCTATGGACTATTCCATCAAGTTTCCTCATCTCAGCAGGAGCTATCAGAATTGGCTTCAGAATAGCTTAAAACTGAAAACATTTCTAAAAAGATGTTTTCTTCACTGACTTCCATAGCTTCTATCGATAGTGTCGCTGAAGAAGTGTTGTAGTGCTAATGGAAAAAAAAGTGTCGCAGTGAGCACCCGATGTCGACAATAAGGTAGGTGTCACAATTTGCGATATATTAATTTTTAGTGTGAACACCGAAAGTTGAAATCAATAAAAGTTTAAAAAGTGTTAGAACCTGATAGGATGCAAAGGCCCTCTGGTAAAAATTTCAGCTTGATCGGACCACTTGTTCGATAGGTCGTCATATGACTGTATAGAAGCGAGGGACTATTGAAAAAACACATTTTGCACCCAGGATACTTTTTCGGGGCGTTTGCCGTGATGCTTATACCTCCGCGAAAATCATCGAAAAACTTTGAGACACGTCTAATTCCAAAGAGAACAGTTTTATCTATCAGACCACGTGTAAGAAAATATTTTGAGTGTATGGCACGGGAGAGAAAAATTTATGAAACCAAAGACTTGAGCTTTTTCAGGCTTTGAGGAAAAACCTCAAAAAGTTCATAACTTTTCAAGATCTTCTTCTGATCTCATTTTGTAGAACAGACTTTGCGCTACCTACATTAGGCTATGTTCAATCAAATCAAAAACGTTAGCAGAAACGAGTGGAGTACCCTTATACAAACTTTGCATCTCATATAAACTATCGAAAAACGACCTAAAACAATACGTGTGTTATCTCCAGCTGGACAAGCGAACCTCGCCAACTATACGATGGTTTTTGCCTACAAATTAAGCTCTTCGATAATTTCAGCGATTGTAAGAATAGTCCTAAAAGGGTTTGACTCATTGCTACTTACTTGCGGAGAAATATATAAAGTGAGGTTTCTTCTGAGTGACTTCACATTGTTCTAAACGGTATTTCTTCTTCTATACCTTAACATCAAAAGATGTCCGCACGCTAATTTCATTTAGGAACACATTTTACCGATGTTTGCTGGTATTACAGACTGGTAAAAAATATTATCATATACTTTAATGTTTGCTGGTATTAAAAGCTACAGACTGGTAAAAAGTACTATCATATACTTTAATGGACTCTAAACTTCTACTCACTTGGAATTTCGTTCTGAACGTCAAAGCATATTAATTAGACTGCTTTGAATATTAATTTATTCCTTAGGTAGCCCAGGCAGTATACTCATTAGTGGAACCTTAGAATGGGTCCCGCATTCTGTCTCATTTCCACAAAAGTCTTTTTACATCTCTACCTTCCCGAACTTCAACTCTTTTCTTCAAAATGTCATATATTACTTAGCTTTAGATGCCTGTGGAGTACAGAAGAACCTCTACACCATCAAATAATGTCATAGATCATTTAATATGCGTTGTCACTGGTGATGTGGAGTGCATCACACCGGCACAAGTGAGTAAATTCGTTAAATTCGTTTGTTCACTAGTTTGACATACCAGCTAAAACTTGGAGAAACCATCCTTTCAAGAGATTAGTTCATACCTGTTTCTCCGAACTTACATTAAGCTTAACCAGGGAAAATTATGATAGACGCCACTGCGCATTATCTTGTGTGGCTTCTCCCCTCAATTTCTGTAAACTCAAGGAAAGACAAATAGGAGGTTTATGACACAGAAAATAGCAGCATTTCACGCCTTTCTTTTATCCTTTTTAGCAGATATAACAATGACTTGAAACACTGTCGATTCTCTGTAAGTCAGAATGTATTGTCACTGACTGGTCTTCACTTAAGAATACATGCTTATCATGTGTTTTGAGTTTGGTTGTTCTGACAGAAGTCACTTCCTTT